AACGGCAAGGCAGAACGAAAAAACCGATACCTCGTCGAAATGGCCAGATGTCTGTTAATTGACGGAAGACTTCCAAATAAATATTGGGGAGAGGCGATCGTAACTGCAAACTATTTACAAAACAGACTGCCATCTCGTACAAAGGAGAAGACGCCTTACGAATATTGGTATGGTGAAAAGCCGGATTTAAAGAATATACAAATTTTCGGTAACGACGCGTATGTGCTAATTCCAAGCGAGTTCAGACGCAAACTAGACGTTAAAACAAAAAAGCTCACCTTTGTTGGATACTCCGAAGAATCCAAGGCATATCGATTACTGGATCGAGAAACGGCAAGAGTAACAATTAGCCGGGAAGTAACATGTATAGATAATCTAACAAAGCAGGAGGAGCAAATAGAATTACGAAATGACACGGATGGGAATACGGAAACAGAAATAGAATTCAAGAATCAACAAGAGGAACAGAAGGAAGATATCCGTAATAATAAAAAAGAAGGCAGAGAAGAAACAGAAAGAGTTTTAACACGATTAAATAGAGGAGTACCACCAGCACGGTTTGGACAATATGCTGATATTGTAGTAAACAACACAACCGAGCCGAGTTCTGTTGAGGAGGCGTTATCAAGTATTAACAGAAACGAATGGCAACGAGCACTCCATGAAGAATATAACTCCTTGATAGCCAACAACACGTGGGACTTGGTAGTGCTTCCAAAGGGTAAAAATGAAATAGGATGCAAATGGGTATTTAAACTAAAGAAGGACGCACAAGGTAATGTAATTAGATTTAAAACCAGGTTAGTGGCACTTGGCTATAATCAAAAAATAGGCATTGATTATAATGAAATATTTGCTCCGGTAGTAAAACAGACTACATTCCGAATATTTTTAACAATAGCCAGTAGAGATAAACTAGTTGTTAAGCACTACGATATAAAGAATGCCTTTCTAAATGGTGATTTAAAGGAGGAAATATATATGAAGCAGCCGCCAGGGTACCAAATAAAAGGAAAGGAACATCTCGTGTTAAAACTGAATAGAAGTATATACGGCCTAAAACAATCGGCATATAATTGGAATAACAAAATTTCAAACGAATTAAAAAATCTGGGATTTGAGCAAGGTAAGAATGACGCATGCTTATATAAAAAACAAGAAGGTGCAAAGAAAACATACATTATTATATATGTTGATGACATCCTAATCGCATCTAAAGATATAAACGAAATTAAACGAGTAGAGGATAAATTGTCGGTCTCACTTAACGTGTCACAACTCGGAAGTATACAAAACTATTCTGGAATTCAAGTAACTAAAGACAAAAATGGTAATTTCCTTATACATCAAGAAAGATACATAAACGAAATCTTAAATACATATGGCTTAACAGAAGCAAAAACATCAAATATACCTTTAGACGTCGGTTATAGAAATGAGCAAGATAGCAAACCATTACCAGATAATAAACAATATAGCAGCCTGATCGGAAGTTTAATGTATATAGCTGTTTCGACGCGTCCTGACATCGCAGCGAGCGTTGCAATATTGAGTAGAAAACTAAAGGCTCCAACGGATCGTGATTGGATAGAAGCTAAAAGAATAGCACGCTATTTGAAACTAACTAAAAAATATAGGTTGCAATTAGGAAATAACAGTAAAAAGGTAGAATTAATAGGTTATGCAGATGCAGACTGGGCAGAGGAAAGAATGGACCGAAAATCGACCAGCGGATATATATTTAAATATTTAGGAAGCACGATCAGCTGGGGTTGTCGAAAGCAAACATGTGTTTCGCTGTCCTCAACCGAGGCGGAATACATAAGCTTAAGTGAAGCCTGCCAAGAAGGTTTGTGGCTGAAGAAATTATTACAGGATTTTAATGAAGAAATAATGGAACCAATAAAATTATTCGAAGACAACCAAGGCTGCATAGAATTAACAAAAAATCAGAAATTTAGCAAAAGGACGAAACATATAGATACCAAATACCATTTTATAAGAGACCTAAGGGAACGCAATGTTATTAATTTAAGCTATTGTTGCAGTAATAGTATGCTTGCAGATATGATGACAAAACCGCTCCATTCAACAAGACTGAGGCAACTGGCAAAAGGTTGCAAGCTAACAACAACTTCGGATGACGATGTTGAGGAGGAGTATTGGAAATAAGGAAGCACCAGCGCCATCCTTCGTGCGGGACGGCCTGCCGCGTTTTTTGTAAAATCACTCACGACACAGGACCAGTCCAACCGTTACCTTTGTCCTGTATACACTGTATCCTCGGATAGCTATTCACGCATCAAATAAATTAATCTATAATATCTAACAATAAGTGTACAAAGTTTCATCAAAATCAAAGCCGGACCGTTCGCGATGGTTCCTTGTAAGTGTTTAACAGGGCGACCAAGCTCGCACGACACATTGGGAAAATGGTAAAATGGAAAGCTTAAAATTATCCTTACATTCCATTTCAGTCATACCACGGCAAGGCCGTAGTGTAGATTATGATATATGTGATAGAATAATCGAATATTTGATTTGGATTGAAAGAATAGATTTTGTCTTAATTTGAATTTCAAATACAGTACTAGTAAATAGCGGTGAACAAACGTTTCGGTAATGGAACTGTGGAGTCTTGTTGATAAGAGATGGAAAAGGAAAGGAGGGGGTAGCGTTTCGTCCCAGGACTGCTAGTGGACTCGTCGGTAAGGCATCCATCCTAACAGACACTGCTTTAAACGCCGGGTTGTTGGAGAGGTCGGTCGAGCATTTGTGAGAGGAATGATCCTTCTGGTGGCAAGTACGGGAGGCGATGGACCCCACAGAACTAAACAAGTCGGCTCACAAAAATCATATTTCAGATAGAAATTTTGATACAATTTTTTGGACAAATTAGAAAAAATGAGAGTCTCATTAAGTTATGTAACGTTTATTGTATGACACCCTTTAATATCTGTATATAAAGTTCTTTATGTAACTAAGCCCAATTACAGCGATTAAATGATAACAGATTAAAAAATTTCTTAAATAAGCTTAGATGATATCAAGTGGTAAATGATTTGGTATATATGTCTATTTTGAAAGTGGAGGCGTTTCGATAGTTTCAAGAACATCCCTATTTTTTTTTTAATGGCAGCATACAGGGTGTCCCGTAAATAGTGTAAGAGCCGGAAATGTGGGGTAGCTGAGACGATTCTAAACAACAATTTCCTTTGCAAAAATGTCGGATGGGGCTTCGTTTTTGAATTATTAACGAAAAACACTGACCAATCACGGCGCGCGCCTTCCGCGCGCTCAGGATCGTCCGAACTCGGAGAGCCACCGCGCCGGGTAGGTAGTAAGATGCGCGTTGAAGATATGTCGAGGAACGAATACAAATAATTAAAAATACTACCACTGCAATTGTTACCTAATTCGTTAATCACTACGTAATTAGTACGTAAATTACTAAATCGAATTTAATAATTATTTGTATTCGCTGTTTCCGAGAAAGAAGGAATAAAATCTCGGAATTTTTAGGAGATTAACCCTTCGCGACCGAGTGACGTCTCTCACCAGAGTGTTTTAAAATTAAAATATGAATTATTTTCAGAAAATTAAAATAAATACGGTAAGAACCATTTGTAACCGTTTGCTATTAAAAACTGTACTCGAAACGCAGACTGGATTTGTGCGTACCGAAACATTCCTCAAATGCAAAGGGTTAATAGAGAAGTAATTGAAATTTGACTTACCTGTTGTGCTGACAATGGGGCCTGGTCAGTGCCCCGCTATCGATCACGGCAAGGTCGAAGACCCCAACGAAAATCATCTGATGGAACGGCCCGGCCACTGCACCGCCGTAATCGATAGCGGGGCACTGACCAGGCCCCATTGTCAGCACAACAGGTAAGTCAAATTTCAATTACTTCTCTATTAACCCTTTGCATTTGAGGAATGATTCGGTACGCACAAATCCAGTCTGCGTTTCCAGTACTGTTTTTAATAGCAAACGGTTACAAATGGTTCTTACCGTATTTATTTTAATTTTCTGAAAATAATTCATATTTTAATTTTAAAACACTCTGGTGAGAGACGTCACTCGGTCGCGAAGGGTTAATCTCCTAAAAATTCCGAGATTTTATTCCTTCTTTCTCGGAAACAGCGAATACAAATAATTATTAAATTCGATTTAGTAATTTACGTACTAATTACGTAGTGATTAACGAATTAGGTAACAATTGCAGTGTTTTAATTATTAATTAATTAGTATTTTTAATTATTTGTATTCGTTCCTCGACGTATCTTCAACGCGCATCTTACTACCTACCCGACGCGGTGGCTCTCCGAGTTCGGTCGGTCCTGAGCGCGCGGAAAGCGCGCGCCGTGATTGGTCAGTGGTTTTCGTTAATAATTAAAAAACGAAGCCCCATCCGACATTTTTGCAAAGGAAATTGTTGTTCAGAATCGTCTCAGCTACCCCACATTTCCGGCTCTTACACTATTTTCGGGACAGCCTGTATAAATATGTACAGCATCCTATCATTTCGTCTCGCACTATATTTATACAGAGGTGAAACAGCACAATATCGTGGAGCGACCTTTGAACACTTTGTAGAAGCTAAAGCAAATGTTGGAAACAGTTATAATATATGTACGTAGATTTTGGTTCTTGAAACAGTTACGAAGAACTTTTATTCTGAATATTATATCGGTTCCAATACAGGTACTGTCCGCCGAAGATATGATGGCTAGGCACGCCGGTTGGCCGTAGCGTCGTAGCGACGCCCGTCCTCACACGTATTATCGCTATTGGCTGGAGCGCTCACTACTACAATTCCATCACGCGACGAAGGACGCGAACGAAACGTACCGAGATAGAGTAGGATAGAACAAGAGTTAGTGACATTGGCGTAACCGCGCGCTCAGAATACTAACCATGAATAGAACAAAAATCTTTCCTTACATTTTACAGTATCATTATCATTTTGTAAAAATTATAAAAATGGTATTCTACCTTACACATCTTCGGAGGAGCTGCTGTTGTCTTCGCTGTCTTCGGAATTATCCAAAATTTGTGATAGTACCTCATCCATGGCATCCTCCAACAAATTGTCTTTTTCCCAATACTTCTTTTCCAAATCTTCTGTGTGGCGACAAAAATTTTCCCACTCACTGACACTTGTCCGATTTACCGCTTCTTCCGCAAGCGCTAGCAATTCATCCACTGCTAAAGTTGACGGATTTTTTTCGCGAATTCTCCGTTTTATTAGTGCCCAGGCCAACTCAATCGGATTTAAATCGCACATGTACGGTGGTAACCGCAGCACGATGTGTCCATGGCATTTCAGTACTTCATCCGCTTTAAATATTTTTTCTGGACCTTTATGTTGTTCTATCAAGTGCACTAATTCATATTTCTTCATGTCTTCGGAATACGGTACGTTATTCCGAAGAAGCCAGTCCATCATATCACTCTTCCTTGCATACTTCGATGGTGGCCTATTCAATTGAATAGAGTGATATGGGGCATTGTCCATCACAATAACACTATTCGGTGCGATATTCGGCAAAAGTTTTTCAGTCATCCACTTTTCAAAATTAATGGCATTCATTTGACCATGATAGTCGCCACTTGTGCTGTTCGCTTTGAACATCAACAGTGCATTGTTGACGAATCCACTCTTCCCACCAGCATGGACAATTATATATCGGTGAGAAGAACTCATATTTTTCACAATACCAAGTGTTTCTTCGCTCTGCCAGCACTTTCCAAAAGACAAGGTATTATCAGCCCATGTCTCATCAATATAAATAATATTTCTGTTTGCCTTTCTATACTGATTAATTGCCTTTAAATATTTCCCTCTCCAGGCAACAATGTTTGGCTTTTCAATTAATATCTTTCTGATATTAACACTTTTTTTCCACGTGTATCCCATGCTCTTTAATAACTGGCGTAACGTGTCCAATTCCCATGGGAAAACAATTTTTTCCCTTATCGCGGCTAACAATTTCGGAGCACTCGGCACAATTTTTTTCTCCACGTAAAACTCGTGGATAATATTTCTAATCACTTTTTTTTCTTCCTCCGTGCAATGACATTTCCCGATACTTCTCGGCCGTTTCTTCCCTGGCGATGACAACCTTCCTTGTTCAGACGTTGAACTTTCCTTCCGAATTCTGGTGATCGTTCTGATCGACAAACCAGTGTATTCGGCAACACGTGCATTTGCCTGCTGTATTGGGTGCAGAAGTTCACCCTTTGACGCTTCCTCGTCACATTTTGCCGCTATCTTTTTCACCATGGTCCTCGCTTCACTGCGAACTGTTTGTCCTTTCTTGTGCGATTCCATTATTTAACACTAAACTAACACTAACTGTAACACTAAATTTACCACTGAACTTTAACACTGAAATGTAAAATTTAAATACTAAATGTATCACTAAACTTTAGCACTGAAATGTAAAATTTAAATACTAAATGTATCACTAAACTTTAACACTGAAATGTAAAATTTAAATACTAAATGTATCACTAAACTTTAGCACTGAAATGTAAAATTCAAATACTAAATGTATCACTAAACTTTAGCACTGAAATGTAAAATTTAAATACTAAATGTATCACTAAACTTTAATACTACACTAACTAAAATTAATATTAATATCTTATGAAATATATAAAATAATATAAAATATTATATCTTATACTAAATCAGAAATCTCTGAAGAGACTTTGTAAAATTTGATTGCTTTTGAGTTAAGGGAAATCACTTGTTGCTCGCTAGATGTTTGCAACAAGAATGACTCCTTCTTTTTTTCAGTGCTTCACGAAGCTTAAAAGTGGGTGTGCTTTGTTCTATCTTACAGTATTTTAAATATGATTGGTCGTTGGGTGGTTCTAAGTAAAATGGCAAAAGAACAAAAAGAACTTTGAAGTATCATAAACCTTCCTCGACATAATTTTCTTTGTCACTCCTTTACCGCCCCCAAGTCGAGATTCCGTATTGAAAGTTCGCTCAGTGTTTCCTTTACCGAATAGTGATGATTTTTATTGAAAACTATAAAAATTATCTACATGTTTATACACAATTTATGAATTGATCGGCAAAATAATAAATCTGTTGGTGCACTAATAATATTATTTTTCTAAGATTATTAAAAATTAAAGAACTTTTGCAATGTGTTGAATGCACTTTTTAAAATAAAATTTTACGAAATTATACGAAATTGAATTATAAGGAATTATATTAAAGGGTATAGCCGAATTTATCTCCCCTGGGAAAAATTTTAATGCGGGATTCTAGAGGCCAAAATAAGACGAAAATCAAGAATACCAATTTGTTGATGGAGCCTTTGTTAAAAAGTTATTAACGTTTAAAATTCCACCCGTACTGAATTTTTTCTCGAAAATGCGCAAGATTTCGGGAGTATGTCTATTCACCAAAAATGGTTGTGATTGACCCCCGCAATCGAAAATAATTTTTCCAGAACGATTTGAAATTTTTGAATTTAATTGTTAATAATTTTTAACGAGCCTCCATCAACAAATTGGTATTCTTGATTTTCGTCTTATTTTGGCCTCTAAAATCCCCCATTAAAATTTTTCCCAGGGGTGGCCGAACACCCTGCATAACGAAACCGCTTTTACTTACTGTTTACTAAATAATGCAAGTTCATTCATTTGATGAAGTCTAGAATAGTCTTCAAACATTTCACGAATTATAAACAGACCAAAATATGAATAATACTTTCGAATAAACGTATAATTCATATGAAATATATTTAAAAATGTAAGAATTATTAATAAGCTTTGAGATCTTTGTGCAAACATTTAAGAATAAGTATGTTATTATTTATATGAAAGATTTTATTCGCATAATTTATATGCACTTTTTTTCATTCAAGAATTTTATAAACGCTTATTTTATCGGATTCATTCATCCTTTAGAGAGTTGTGACAAAAGGAGTTCGTGTCGTTTGTCTATGGGCGGGATAGGGGTTGTTACAAATAAATAAGTCGTCTATGTTTGGAGGCAAATTATCACTGTAGGTCGATACCTGCAAGAGAAATGCTTAATTTACGCGATAATGATGGACGCTCAGAACAATCGGGCCCATAATAAACTCGGCTGGCAGGTAAACTGTGCAGACTAATTGGGAATTTTCTGGCGACTTTCATGCGATTTTTGTTACACTTTCAGGTCGTCGCAGACCCTTCTTCCATTCCTCATTTAGAAACAAATGAAGTTATAGATCCATAAAGTTTTTCGTACTAATTCCACAAAGGGATACGTGTTTGAGAATTTTTTCCGATTTTTCGATTCCAAATCCTAGGTGTGAAAAATTAAAAACGCAGAAAAATACCGATTTCGTATTGAAGTTTTCGAGACACTAGATTTATATAATTACTGTAAATGCATATTGTCATTGGTTATGTCCCTGAATTTTTTCACATTTTTTGGCAGGGTGCGCCGTAGTGGCAAAAATCAAAACCGATATTTTCTGCGTTTTTCACGTGAAAAAGCAACTTATACTCTGAATTTTTGTATTCCCTTTAATGGATAACTATATTCTATGGTTTTAAACAATTCTATGTTGAATAGAACGGCGTATAGAATAGAAAAACAAAAATAAGTCACCAAATTAAAGGTGCTATGTGCGTTATATTCAGAAGCAGCAGCGGTATTTCCAAGAGGTGCGATGGTGCAGTGACTAAGATGCTTGACTGGAGAAATATTTTTAAATATTTTAAATAGATTTTCATTGTTATATAGTTGAAAATTAAAAAAATATATGATTAATAAAAAAAAAAGATGTGCTTCAAACGGGGCACGAACCAGCGTCAAAAAGTTTGCAGAGTATCCACAGTTAAGCATCTCAAGGGTTTGCGACGACCTGAAAGTGTAACAAAAATCGCATGAAAGTCGCCGGAAAATTCCCAATTAGCCTGCACAGTTTACCTGCCAGCCGAGTTTATTATGGGCCCGATTGTTCTGAGCGTCCATCATTATCGCGTAAATTAAACATTTCTCTTGCAGGTATCGACCTACAGTGATAATTTGCCTCCAAACATAGACGACTTATTTATTTGTAACAACCCCTATCCCGCCCATAGACAAACGACACGAACTCCTTTTGTCACAACTCTCTAAAGGATGAATGAATCCGATAAAATAAGCGTTTATAAAATTCTTGAATGAAAAAAAGTGCATATAAATTATGCGAATAAAATCTTTCATATAAATAATTACATACTTATTCTTAAATGTTTGCACAAAGATCTCAAAGCTTATTAATAATTCTTACATTTTTAAATATATTTCATATGAATTATACGTTTATTCGAAAGTAGTATTCATGTTTTGGTCTGTTTATAATTCGTGAAATGTTTGAAGACTATTCTAGACTTCATCAAATGAATGAACTTGCATTATTTAGTAAACAGTAAGTAAAAGCGGTTTCGTCATACAGGGTGTTCGGCCACCCCTAGGAAAAGTTTTAATGGGCGATTTTAGAGGCCAAAATAAGACGAAAATCAAGAATGCCAATTTGTTGATTGAAGCTTCGTTAAAAAGTTATTAACAATTATATTCAAAAATTTCAAATCGTTCTGGAAAAATTATTTTCGATTGCGGGGGTCAATTACAATAATTTTTGGTGAATAGACATACCCCCGTAATCTTGCGCATTTTCGAGAAAAAAATTCAGTACGGGTGGAACTTTAAACATTAATAACTTTTTAACAAAGCCTCCATCAACAAATTGGTATTCTTGATTTTCGTCTTATTTTGGTCTCTAGAATCCCGCATTAAAATTTTCCACAGGGGTGGCCGAACACCCTGTATCTCTCGCAGATATTGAGATCCTACTACTATGTAGCGTGACGTCAGAGCGGGCCTCTATGGTGGGAATAGGGCGGCGCGTAGACCTTCTCTCCTTGCCCTTGCCCCGTTTAGTTTGTAGGTGCCTAGCCAACTCGTTTTCGGCGGACAGTACATACATATCGGTTATATTACATGTTTCGTTTATATATTGGTTTGTTTTGTCTATTGTGTATGTCTCGTTGAATTGGAATTGATTTTATGGATAGATTTTTCAGGTGGTTCTAACAGCATCCTCAACACTGTTGCTTGTTTTAAAACAGTGAAGCTGTAAATGTTTTTTGTGGTTTTTCATACTTGAAAATATCCAGAAATCGAACAAAATATTTTGAGAACGAGAAAAATACACCGTTTGAAAGCTAAGAAACAACTGAAGGTCGTAACGTCTTGAAGAAGCAGACCTGACCTCGTATTTCCTCAGACGTTGTCCATAAAAGCCGAACGTCAAAATTCAAAAAAAAACTTGTGGGACAACATAATATTTTTGATATTTTTTAAATCTTTGATTCAAAGGGACAAATTAAAAAACGATTGGATAAAGGCGTTGGTTACAACCTGTTTGTATTCGGAGACTTCGCATGATTAACATCTCGCAGATATTGCGCAATAACGCGAGAACATCTGCACGGTTCGATATTAACTTAGATTTTCCTGCGCAGAAATATCGTTCTTGCAAATATTCCCGTCGTAACTCCGCGCAAGGGATGTACGTAAGTGCGTCTTCTCCGGGTACACGACGTCCTGAACGTAAAATATGTTCTCTGTGCCAACACGAAATCATGCTGTTTATGAATAAATGCCTTCGAGCTGAGCGAACTTCGACGCGGCGAATGTCGCAACTTTCCTTTCAATAAATTACGTTGATTTGTATTTTTACTGTCACGGCACACACAACTTTCGTTTAAAAAATATTTTAATTTTAATGTTTTTACGAAGTCGTGATTTTTTTGTTAATACTTTGAGTTCGATAGCTGATATGAAAGATTGTATTACCATCTACTAACGACTATTACTCTCTCGATTCAGAAAATGTCGTATTGTAAGTGATCGTCATATTAAACCTTGTGAATAAAATAACATTAACAAATGTGCCATAATTTCGTATCAAAACTAAAATTAAAGTATCTTCTGAGCTAATGATTTTTGGACATAAATAGGTCAATACTTTTTTAAAGAATATTAAGGTACATCGACTGGTGTGATGAAAAATATACGATACCATTTGAAAAACATTAATGAGCGTTATATGTCTTCTACGCATTTACCTGCAAAAAAGATTAATAACATTAGGATGAACCTTTTTCGAAACCATGCAACTCTATAAGAAACATTTTTCTGGTACTATGTAGTAACCAATCCTGTACAATTTCAACACTAATATAGACCAACATTAAGAAATTTAAATTTTATAATAAAATTTTGCATTTTATATATTGTTAAACGTTTCAAGATATAACTGGTTTATTTTTTATAACGTATTATGTAAAATTCAAAGCTGAAATATGTCTTTTGTTAAGTCAAATCTGCTACTTGATCACTTCTTTTTGACAATATCATATTCTACTCCGTGCCTTCAAATTCTTCCACCTGTTATAATCTTGAATCTCCTAAACCAA